AAAAAAAAAAAAAGAGGAGCCTTTGACCAGTAATTCTCTCTTTCTTTTTCAATTAGTTTCCCCAAATCTTTTGTCGAATTAAGCATACTCTTGAATTTTTATGTGTTTATTTGTGTATTTTTGGCCTCCTCTTTTGGTAGTTTTCTTCATTTTATTTGGTTTGATAACGCTGGTGTTTGGTTGAAATTTGAAAAAAAGAGTTTTTAAAATTGTATGAAAAAATAATTTTTGAAAATTAAAGTTATGTTTGAACATGCATTTTATTTGAAAAAAGCTTGAAGCTTTATGAGCGAAAGAAAGAATTTCACCTAAAAACTACCCAAAACCAGTTTTTGGGACATTTAAAAAAAATCAATTTTTTTATAAAATTGATCATATTTTACGAACAAACAATTTTCAATTTTATTTTGAAAAAAAAAAAAAAATCTATGGCCAAACGGGAGCTACAATAATCTTATAATCATGTATTCAACATCCACTAAGCGACTAATTTGGATTCACATCAGTATGACTTATTAAACGGAAAACAATCTAGGACTTGAACTCGAGACTTCTAATTTGACCCTCGTTAAAAAAGGAAGTACTCTCTATCATTATCTTTTTCATTCTTAGGACTCGAACTCGAGATTTATGGTTCGAGTTCATTTTAATGGTGTAAGACTCTAACCTTTTTCATTCCTAATTCTCCAACTCGAGACTTTTGATTAAGAACATGAACTTAACATTACTGACCATTTGTTTATGAGTTCCAAAGTACAATGAGATGTCTAGTTGATGATTATTCTTCATTTGCACATTTTTTAACATTGGTTAATACAGTCAAACTTCTTTGTAATAGCTTCATTTGTTCCAGATCTTTTTGATTATTATAGCGAATTGTTGTTATACACAATATGTTTTATAACATAGCATAGAAATTGGTTCCAAAGGGAATTTGGTTTTGATAGACAATAATTGTTATATAACTTTAATTTCTTAATTGAAGAGACTATGTACGGGAGATTGTTTTACGATTATGAATCTAAAGCTATACTGTCAAAACATGGGATTTCTTTGTTCCATGTCGCGCCTGCTATAGTGATCATCCATCAAGATTTTGTGTATGTTAGCACATACTATAGTTTATTTTGTTGGATCCTATTTCTCTCTTTTTAACATTTTTTGCTAAGTTATTTGGAAAATTTGCAGAATGAGCTTGAAATACTGACAAATGAGGATCGACATCCATGTTTGATGAAGTTAAAGGGGTTCTGTTTTCAATATATACTTGCTGTTGTATATGATGAAGTACCAACTAAATTTTTGTCCGAGGTGCTTTCTTCTGGTATTGGAGCTAGCTACTTAAGAATTTTTTCACCAGCTATAGTTGATGACTAAGAAGGGGAGCCTTGACGTAACTGGTAAAGTTGTTGCCCTGTAACCAGGAGATCACGGGTTCGAGTCGTGGAAACAGACTCTTGCAGAAATGCCGGGTAAGGTTGCGTACAATAGACCCCTATGATCCGGCCCTTTCTTGGACCCCGCGCATAGCGGGAGCTTAGTGCACCGGGTTGCCCTTTATAGTTGGTGACTAAATTTACTAATTTTTGTGTGATTTTGAAGTGTCATTTTGGATGGAATGACAGAATGAAGGTGGCGATGCAACTAGCAAGCCTCTTCGCTTGGTTGCACGAGAGGCGATTTGCATTTGGTAGTGTCACGCCTTCTGGGATAACGATTGACAAAGTAACAAATGAACCATATGGCCCTCTTTCCTTGCAGTGGCAGCTCTTTAGTGATGCATTTATCTGAAATCGGTATTATCGATGCAGAGTATAAGTATAAATGTGATAACTGATAACCAATATAAATTTCAACATATATTAGATCAGATATGAACACATAATCTGAAAAGTACATGAGTTTAGTACTAAGAACCATAAAGGTCGAGTCCATCAAGTTTAAATTATAGATACGCCTCTGCTTATTTGTTGATATTTTACAAGTTACTGTTCGATTGTCATGCAGGACTTAAATATAAAATTATTCGACTTTGGTTACCTTGCTCCTGTAAGCGAGGAGGATAACGGAGTTCCCATGCCTTATCCTGTTTTCCCAGATACTCCTGAGGCTAGAAACGGTGTGTCTCTTTGATTTTTGTCTGTCTTATTTAGTTCAATGTCTCTGCTGATAGTGAACTTTCCTGTTAGGAATTTATGGTCAATGCCACATCTATTCTATTAACCGATTATACAACCAGCGAAGTTAATTGCTTGGATATTTGCTGAATTTTGAGTTGAAATCATCCTAGTCTTTTGATGTGATTTTAATGAATAAGATTGAACCAATGCTTTATTTAGTCAGTGATAATATTCACTGATTGTGATACTTCTGATTATGAGGGATTCTTTGTTCTCGAAACATTTGCAAGTAAAAGTTGACTTGTATGTATAATTGAAATGTTATTTTTTTTATTGGGACTTTGTTTACTGCATCTGTAACTTGGAGCGTGCTCTGGTGCTGTATAATTTGACCCTTTGCCTTTATCTTACGTTCAAGTACATTCTCCCACAAACCCCCGGGGCTTTGGTCTCGTGGTATGAGCTCAGCGTGTGATATGTGGGTTAGGCGCTATTAGGGATTCGAATGCTTACGCAGACACAAGTCTGATATTTAAGTGAAGAAAAATAGAGGCTGACCCATTTATGCATCGATTTCCAACCATGTCTCACTACCCAGAGATTTTTTATTATAAAAAAGCACATCCTCCTACAAGTCGAGTCATGGCAAAATTGCCCAAAGTAAAGTAAATCTCATTTGTTCTCATATCTTATAAATACATAGTTCAAGCCGAAAGTAATGAGTTCAATTGAATTAGTCACAACCCGTCCTAAATCTGCCTTCGATTAGTTGTTCATTCTTCTTAACACTGTCATGTCCGGTTACACTAGTTCTATATGCAGCAGTAAATAAGAACTGTACGAAGGGTTTGTAACTTGTAACAATGAAAATGCCCTAATTAAAGTATGTTGCAACATCATAAGTTTCTACCCATCTTGTTTTCGATTGAAAATGGATAGAAAGCCAAACTAAAGAAAGTATTTCAAGAAATTCGGAGTATGCAAAAGTAAATACTTATGTAGGAACATAGGAAAGAATGTTACTATTTGTCAATTTACATCGAACACAAAGTAAATACAAATACTATAAACAATATTGGATATGCCTATATCCAACCAATCTATCTAGTGAGAGAGAGAAAAAGAGGAAAATTCAATCAATCATGTATAATTCTTACTTCATAAACAAACAGTAATGCATGCATCTTCACAAATTCAATCATATATACTCATTTTCTCTTCACTACTAATTAATAATCAATCCAACTACCAATGAAAATCAATAATTCAAATGAAAACCATGCTATTTTCATCATCAAATTTCATATCTTCAAGACTAGAATGCAGTACTCCTTCGTCTTGTAAACATGGTACTTCAAAATCCATATCGAACATCAACCCATACTGATCGTCCTCCTGACTGCACTTGGACAAGTTGACCGTTGTTTCATCCTTCGAAACTTCGTTCATTTCTTGATGTGACAACTGAAGATGGTTCTTTACTAATAAATCAAATAAATGATGATGGATTGTGTTTGAGTTCTGGCTTTGATAGGGTGGATTTTGGTTATTAATGTCATAATTCAATGAATGGTTGTATAATTCTGGAGAAGTGACAGCAGCCTCGTACATGTTTTGTGGGCTAAGATTGTTCGTACAATTGTTGTTGTTCTCACTTTTAGTTTTGTGAAATACTCGACATAATACCCAATCTTCCTGTTCAATGATCACACACAAAAAGTTAAATAAAACAAACATTATGGGTGCTATATTTGATGTAAGGAAACAACTGTACTTACTCATTTTAGCTAAAATCTAGCCATAGTATACTCATTGTTTCCTTCTTTTGATACAAAATAGGAGGTTTCTAGGAAACTTCTTGCAATAATCTCCTCAATCTTTTAATCTTCAAACGCTTTACACGTGTATCAAGATCTATTCAAGTCGTGAAAGATGTGCAAAAACCGTCGAAACTTTCAATCTTATACACTTTATACGTGTCTCAAGATCTATTCAAATCGTGAAAGATGTACAAGTATACATTCAACAATCAAAATGTTCTAATTGTAATGCGTGTCTCAAAATCTCTTCAAATTTTAAGTTTAACCTATTTGTATTGGTTTCACAATCTTTTCGACAAGCTTAAAACTTCTCATGAAAATCACACACAAATAATAAAAAGACAAATCACCACCCTAAGGAAAGTGCATTGAAATGGATTGTTGTAAGAACTAAAAAGGAGGACATGAAAATGTTGCAGGGAGAAAAAAGAGTTAAGTTATATATATTGGCAGTGCGGAGATCTTTTATGCTATCAATGTAATTTAACTTTTTATAAAAGGCAATTTACCATTTTTACAAGGTTGTTAATTAATTTTATCTTTCTTGTATTTAACTTATAAACCTAAATATGCAAATATTTTTTATGCCGATAATGCATATATTAACTTGGAGAAAAAAGATTAAAATATTACCTTAGGGGGAATATGAGGGTTTTCCAAGCGAAATTCATGCATGATCCAGCCAGTTTTAATGCCATTAGGAGCTCTATTTTTGTAGAAGACTAAAGTTTTTCTCATTCCTACGATCTCACGCGTGCAAGGATCGAACACTGTTCGATCTTTGCCCGTAGCTTTCCAGTAACCTGAAATTGTGGCCCGGTTCGCCCGAAAACCGGTGGTATACTTGCGGTCTCGGAAGCTGAAGAAGTACCACTCACTTGAGTTGAGCTTTGCCACCTCTAGTTCAAGAACAACATTCATAGATAAGCTACAACTAGTTCAAATGATAACAAGAGTTAACACATATAGAGGAAATTAGACAAATTTACACTTTAGTAATTAATTATTGTTCCATCCGTTTCAATTAATGTCTTGCCTTGAGTTCCCCTTTTAATCTATCACAAAAACAATACTTTGTCTATTAAAAGTAAGTTTTAATTTTAGTTTCAAACTTTTCATTTTACTTGTTGTGGCACTCTCCTAATAAAGTTGACGTGGCGTAATTAAGGGAAAATTTCACATAAGAACAATTGGTCTCTCCACTTTTTAATTTTATAGCTCATATTTCAATTTACAACCAACTAACCTAAAAATAATAGGCTAAGCTTCAACATCCAATTCCAATAGGTCCTTAAAATTGTTATTTAATTTTTAGAAAAGCTTGCACAAGCTTTTAAGTTAATTTTGGAATCAGTAACTGTGACTCAAGTATTAGTTCAAGAAACCAAATCCATTTGGATGGTGAAAATTAAATTTTTAGCAAGCTTAAATATGTGAGTTTAAATTTCGAATTTGATTTTGTGAGAAATTTGGAGTGAGTATTATTTAGACGTGTTAGAAATAGTATAAGGATGTTGTATATAAAATTTGAAGTCATTTAATGGAGATTTGGACTGATTTTGAACAAGAATTGCAACTGAAAATCGTGGAAGAAGTTCGTCTACAGAACGTTTGTATAAAGGTGTATAAAAGTGTATAAGATATGTTTATGTACACTCATATACACTATTATATAAGATTATACATAATTATACAAAACCGACTTCGTCTTCTTCCTAGCGTCTTTCTGAAATTTAACTCAAATCTTGTTCAAATCTATTCCAAATCACTTCAAATTTAAACTTTGAACTCCTTTTGATATTTTCCATCAATTGGAACAACACCCAATCCAAACAATTAACAAACTTAAAAAATTATATTCTCTAAAGCAAAACTTTAAATAGCCTTCAATAGTGGACTTTTATTCTTCAATTTTTTTACATTGCAACCATGTGACATATGGGGAGAAGCAGCAATGGCGGACGACCCCTTGAAGCATATGTAAAAGATGTGAGAAGAAGGGAGATTGAAAGCAATGGTTGTGATCGAGAACACAGATTTAACTCTATAGCTTTTAGAATCAATGGTTGTAAGAATACAGATTTTGAACTTGCAAAAGCTAGTGTTTTCAAAATGTGTACAATATGGGCTAGGTGGGGTAAAACTAAAAAATATGGGCCATTTTTTGTTATGATGTGAAGTCATGTGTATTTTCTTGTAATTCTTTCCGTAATTAAGACCACAAATATTTAGTTTAAGATTAAAATTCAAAAATATTCTTTATATTTTTAAACTTTGTGCCAGCTAGCCAAACTAAGACAAAAACATGAAACAGATCGGATGGTTTATAATTTTTTTTCTTTTTGTCGAGATAATCGCTAAACAATACTCTACGTAAATACTTATTGAGCTTAACATATTTACTTAGAAGGTCATTAAAAAGCTAATTGTTTTAGTATTTGCACCAAGTGTATGAGTTGCCAGTTGGTACTTAAGAAAAGATTATAGGTGGTAATCCATTAAAGTCAATAAATTTATAATGAAGCTTAATAGTTTTTGCTATTGCTACTAAATTAATCTTATAGAATAATTCTTAAAGTCCGAACGCAAGAAGTGTGCATGACAAGTAAAAAGCTAGAATTGTGTCTGCACTTAACAAAATTAAGCAGTAAATAAATAGAATATATATGAATACTTGCGGAAATTTATTGTCTTTCATTTTATTTGACCAATAAACTAAAGTTCACCAAAATCAATTTTAAAACATCCTTTTAGTTATATACACGTTAATCTTTTGCTGGTTCATCTTACCAATTGACGAGAGTACAAGGGAAAATATATTACAGAGAAATGAAATACCAGTAATATATAACCAAAATTGAGTTGGCTTTAACTAAATGAATCATTTGCTATAGACCACCTCCATTGGCCTATGACCTATCCATTCATGTCTCTATCAATATTTAACTTTATTTTTGGAAAAAGGATAGATAATTTACAGATATTTTTAAGTTTATTTTGGGAAACGAAAAAGTAAGAGAAGAAGAGAAATGAACATACCAGGAAGCTGCCATGGCTCACAAGTGTGAAGATCAATTTCCACTAAAGTACCTTTAATTATTTCTTCATTAGTAATTTTATTGAAGAGATAATGGCAAACTAACTCTTCATCACTTGGACAAAATCTAAACCCTGGGGGCAGTGTTGCTCCAAT